TCTTTACTCAGGGGACCACAGAATCGTTAATTCAGGGACACAGAATTGTTACTCAGGGACACAGAATTTTTACTCAGGGCACAGAATCGTTGACTCAGACAGACACTAGAATCGTTATCTCAGGACAGACACAGAATCGTTTACTGAGGGACAGGACAGAATCGTTACTGAGGGACACAGAATCGTTACTGAGGGACACAGAATCGTTACTCAGGGACACAGAATCGTTTGAATTAAACACAGTATTGTCAGACAACACGCAGGGGACTGGCAGCAGGGAGGCAATGTTTCAGGGAGCAGAGCAGACGTGGCAGCAGAGGGTCAAGGGGGTCGAGGCAGCACAAGTCGCAGCCAGAGGCCAGTGCTACCGGTGTCATCCAGCGGTCGTTTGTTCTCCACCGACAACCCTGCCGTCATCGATTGGTTGGCTCGGTCGTCTTCCTCTTCCCAGGTCACATCTGACACCTACAGCCAATTCGGTCGGTGGGTACGTCAGACACAACCGTTAGTTGGCATGGCCCGGGAGCAAGCCCACTGAAAATCACGTGTCCTCTACCTGCCCCTGTCCTTTGTGTTCCCTCACTCACCAAGCGAAGTATCGCATGCTGTGGGCTCAGCCCCACTGTACAGTGAGGAAGAGCTAACAGAGGGCGGTCAGGAACGGGGGGAGACATCCGCCTCCCCCCTTCAGCAGCCAGGCGAAGAAGTACTGGCGAGGAGAGTGGCTCGGTAGTCAGCCGGTCTAGAGACAGGTCTGTCTCCTGACCCACACGCAGCCGAGGGGGCTAGTAGTGAGGCGGAGACCCTAATTGATGATGATGAGGCTGATCGCACTTGGCAGCCTCGTCGTCATCTGCCAGGCCCCGTAATCTGCCCCATGGGCCCCCGTACCGCCTCCTCATGCTGCTGCCAGGTCCCCGTGGGTGTGCCTCATGGGTCCCTGTACGGCCTCCCAGCATTGTGCAGTCACTCCATCGCCAACGGCCATGTGAGCACTTTCAGGTCTCCTCACACTGCTGGTGGGTTCCATTTTGTCATAGGGTGCTGGCAGATTACGGGCCTCCCCATTGCTGCTGCCAGGCCCGTAATCTGCCATGGGCCCCCCCATGTACCGCCTTCCATGCTGCTGCCAGGTCCAGAGTGTCTCATGGGTCCCTGTACGGCCTCCCATTGCTGCTGTCTCCATCGCCACACTCTGCCATGTGCCACTTTCAGGTCTCCTCACACTGCTGGTGGGTTCCATTTTGTCATAGGGTGCTGGCAGATTACGGGCCTCCCATTGCTGCTGCCAGGCCCGTAATCTGCCATGGGCCCCCGTACCATGCTGCCTCCTCATGCTGCTGCCAGGTCCAGAGTGTCTCATGGGTCCCTGTACGGCCTCCCATTGCTGCTGTCTCCATCGCCACACTCTGCCATGTGCCACTTTCAGGTCTCCTCACACTGCTGGTGGGTCCATTTTGTCATAGGGTGCTGGCAGATTACGGGCCTCCCATTGCTGCTGCCAGGCCCGTAATCTGTCATGGGCCCCTGTACCGCCTCCTCATGCTGCTGCCAGGTCCAGAGTGTGTCATGGGTCCCTGTACGGCCTCCCATTGCTGCTGTCTCCATCGCCACACTCTGCCATGTGCCACTTTCAGGTCTCCTCACACTGCTGGTGGGTTCCATTTTGTCATAGGGTGCTGGCAGATTACGGGCCTCCCATTGCTGCTGCCAGGCCCGTAATCTGCCATGGGCCCCTGTACCGCGCTCCTCCATGCTGCTGCCAGGCCAGTAATCTGTCATGGGTCCCTGTACGGCCTCCCATTGCTGCTGTCTCCATCGCCACACTCTGCCATGTGCCACTTTCAGGTCTCCTCACACTGCTGGTGGGTTCCATTTTGTCATAGGGTGCTGGCAGATTACGGGCCTCCCATTGCTGCTGCCCAGGCCCGTAATCTGTCATGGGCCCCCACTACCGCCTCCTCATGCTGCTGCCAGGTCCCAGAGTGTGTCATGGGTCCCTGTACGGCCTCCCATTGCTGCTGTCTCCATCGCCACACTCTGCCATGTGCCACTTTCAGGTCTCCTCACACTGCTGGTGGGTTCCATTTTGTCATAGGGTGCTGGCAGATTACGGGCCTCCCCATTGCTGCTGCCCAGGCCCGTAATCTGCCATGGGCCCCCTGTACCGCCTCCTCATGCTGCTGCCAGGTCCAGAGTCTGTCATGGGTCCCTGTACGGCCTCCCATTGCTGCTGTCTCCTCATCGCCACACTCTGCCATGTGCCACTTTCAGGTCTCCTCACACTGCTGGTGGGTTCCATTTTGTCATAGGGTGCTGGCAGATTACGGGCCTCCCATTGCTGCTGCTGCCAGGCCCGTAATCTGCCATGGGCCCCTGTACCGCCTCCTCATGCTGCTGCCCAGCTAGCCAGGTCCAGAATCTGTCATGGGTCCCTGTACGGCCTCCCATTGCTGCTGTCTCCATCGCCACACTCTGCCATGTGCCACTTTCAGGTCTCCTCACACTGCTGGTGGGTTCCATTTTGTCATAGGGTGCTGGCAGATTACGGGCCTCCCATTGCTGCTGCCAGGCCCGTAATCTGCCATGGGCCCCTGTACCGCCTCCTCATGCTGCTGCTGCCAGGTCCAGAGTCTGTCATGGGTCCCTGTACGGCCTCCCATTGCTGCTGTCTCCATCGCCACACTCTGCCATGTGCCACTTTCAGGTCTCCTCACACTGCTGGTGGGGTTCCATTTTGTCATAGGGTGCTGGCAGATTACGGGCCTCCCATTGCTGCTGCCAGGCCCGTAATCTGTCCATGGGCCCCTGTACCGCCTCCTCCTCATGCTGCTGCCAGGTCCAGAGTCTGTCATGGGTCCCTGTACGGCCTCCCATTGCTGCTGTCTCCATCGCCACACTCTGCCATGTGCCACTTTCAGGTCTCCTCACACTGCTGGTGGGTTCCATTTTGTCATAGGGTGCTGGCAGATTACGGGCCTCCCATTGCTGCTGCCAGGCCCGTAATCTGTCATGGGCCCCTTACCGCCTCCTCATGCTGCTGCTGCCAGGCCCGTAATCTGTCATGGGCCCCTGTACCTCATGCTGCTGCCAGGTCCCTCCTCCTCATGCTGCTGCCAGGTCCAGAGTCTGTCATGGGTCCCTGTACGGCCTCCCATTGCTGCTGTCTCCATCGCCACACTCTGCCATGTGCCACTTTCAGGTCTCCTCACACTGCTGGTGGGTTCCATTTTGTCATAGGGTGCTGGCAGATTACGGGCCTCCCATTGCTGCTGCTGCCAGGCCCGTAATCTGTCATGGGCCCCTGTACCGCGCCTCCTCATGCTGCTGCCAGGCCCAATCTGTCATGGGTCCCTGTACGGCCTCCCATTGCTGCTGTCTCCATCGCCACACTCTGCCATGTGCCACTTTCAGGTCTCCTCACACTGCTGGTGGGTTCCATTTTGTCATAGGGTGCTGGCAGATTACGGGCCTCCCATTGCTGCTGCCAGGCCCGTAATCTGCCATGGGCCCCTGTACCGCCTCCTCATGCTGCTGCCAGGTCCCTGAGTCTGTCATGGGTCCCTGTACGGCCTCCCATTGCTGCTGTCTCCATCGCCACACTCTGCCATGTGCCACTTTCAGGTCTCCTCACACTGCTGGTGGGTTCCATTTTGTCATAGGGTGCTGGCAGATTACGGGCCTCCCATTGCTGCTGCCAGGCCCGTAATCTGCCATGGGCCCCTGTACCGCCTCCTCATCTGCTGCTGCCCGTAATCTGGCCATGAGTACCGCTGTCATGGGTCCCTGTACGGCCTCCCATTGCCATGCTGTACTCCCATTGCTCTCCATCGCCACACTCTGCCATGTGCCACTTTCAGGTCTCCTCACACTGCTGGTGGGTTCCATTTTGTCATAGGGTGCTGGCAGATTACGGGCCTCCCATTGCTGCTGCCAGGCCCGTAATCTGCCATGGGCCCCCGTACCCGTACCGCCCTCCTCATGCTGCTGCCAGGCCCGTAATCTGTCATGGGTCCCTGTACGGCCTCCCATTGCTGCTGTCTCCATCGCCACACTCTGCCATGTGCCACTTTCAGGTCTCCTCACACTGCTGGTGGGTTCCATTTTGTCATAGGGTGCTGGCAGATTACGGGCCTCCCATTGCTGCTGCCAGGCCACGTAATCTGCCATGGGCCCCTGTACCGCCTCCTCATGCTGCTGCCAGGGTCCCGTAGTCTGTCATGGGTCCCTGTACGGCCTCCCATTGCTGCTGCTGTCTCCATCGCCACACTCTGCCATGTGCCACTTTCAGGTCTCCTCACACTGCTGGTGGGTTCCATTTTGTCATAGGGTGCTGGCAGATTACGGGCCTCCCATTGCTGCTGCCAGGCCCGTAATCTGCCATGGGCCCTGTACCGCCTCCGCCTCCTCATGCTGCTGCCAGGTCCAGTAATCTGTCATGGGTCCCTGTACGGCCTCCCATTGCTGCTGTCTCCATCGCCACACTCTGCCATGTGCCACTTTCAGGTCTCCTCACACTGCTGGTGGGTTCCATTTTGTCATAGGGTGCTGGCAGATTACGGGCCTCCCCATTGCTGCTGCCAGGCCCGTAATCTGCCATGGGTACCCCCCTGTACCGCTCCTCATGCTGCTGCCAGGTCCAGTAATCTGCATGGGTCCCATAGGGTGCTGTACGGCCTCCCATTGCTGCTGTCTCCATCGCCACACTCTGCTGTCATGTGCCACTTTCAGGTCTCCTCCACACTGCTGGTGTTCCATGCCACATTTTGTCATAGGGTGCTGGCAGATTACGGTCCTCCATTGCTGCTGCCAGGCCCCGTAATCTGTCCATGGGCCCCCGTACCGGGCCTCCTCATTGCTGCTGCCAGGCCCGTAATCTGTCATGGGCCCCTGTACGCCTCCTCATGCTGCTGCCAGCCCTGTCCATCTGTGCTCATGGGTCCCTGTACGGCCTCCCCTTGCTGCTGTCTCCATCGCCACACTCTGCCATGTGCCACTTTCAGGTCTCCTCACACTGCTGGGGTTCCATTTTTGTCATAGGGTGCTGGCAGATTACGGGCCTCCCATGCTGCTGAGCCAGGCCCGTAATCTGCCATGGGCCCCCGTACCGACTCCTCATGCTGTGACGTTTGCAACAAGGTGGAATTCAACCCTACATGTGTAGACCGCCTTTACGAACAGCGAAAGGCCATCACCGATTTCCTGATGTTACAAGCGGATAAAAGGTACTCCCCTGTGTAACTTAGATGTCAGCCATTGGCAGCTCATGCGTGACACCTGCCGCTTGCTCAGGCCCTTTGAGGAGGCCACGCTATTCGTGAGTCGGCAGGACTATGGGATGAACGACGTCATTCCTCTGTTGCACGTCCTGGAACAAATGCTGTTAACAATGGCTGGTCAGGGTGCGGTAGACGTGGCGCACAGATCTCAACGCCACATGACCCCTGTGGGGGCAGCTGGACAGGAAGAAGAGGAGGAGGTAGAGGAGGACATTGGTGCTCAGGAATTATTGAGTGAAATGGGTGGTTTTTCCACTCAGCGGACAGGAGTGGAGGAGCAGGAGCATCTGGTAGAGAGAGGAGGAGGAGGAGACAGAGGACCCAGACGCACCGTGGCAGTATGCTGTGGAGATGGAGGCAGGGAGTCCCTCGCATTCCTTGGCACAAATGGCCCATAGCATGCTCGGTTGCTTGCGTAGCGACAGCCCAAATAATAACCATCAGACAGAGGGATGACTTTTGGCTGTCCACCTTGTTGGACCCTCGCTACCGTTCAAAAATGGTGGCCTTTTTCACACCTGCTGAGAGGGAGGCCAAAATAACGTACTATAAAAACCACCTATGTAGTCAGTTGGTCTCTGCCTTTCTGCGCCAACGTCCATCCTCAGACACTGTGGGCCCTGTGCGCTCGCGTTCCGCTGCCCATGGCAGCAGGGGAGGGGTGGGGTGGTAGGAGCAGTGGCAGCTCCACCAGCAGCGGCTGCCTCAGTCTGCAGTCGATGATGAGTAGCTTTCTTCTTCACCAGCGCCAGTGAGGAAACTACTAACCAGCCGCAGCAGCTGCAGCAGCATCAGGTGGACCTGGAGCAGGACCTCAAACAACAGGCTTGGGCCTACTTGGACAGCACCCTGCCAACCGAGGTAGACAATCCCCTTGACTACTGGGCAACGAAACTTGACCTTTGGCCCCAAACTAGCTGAATTTGCCCTTGAAAGGCTGTCATGCCCGGCCAGTAGCGTGGCATCGGAGCGCGTGTTTAGTGCGGCAGGAGGTATTGTAACTCCGCGGAGGACACGACTGTCCACCCAAAGTGTGGAGAGACTCACGTTTGTGAAAATGAATCAGGCGTGGATTAGTCTGGATTTCAAACCACCAGTTTCCTGACACAACTGACTAAATCCGCCATGAATCATGCCCCAAACATGTTATTATTTTTAACATAGGCCTCTGTATGGCCTTCAATTTAAGCTGCTTATGCTTCGCCACTCTGCTGCCATGGGCCCCCCCGTACCGCCTCCTCTTGCTGCTGCCAGGTCCAGAGTGTGTCATGGGTCCCTGTACGGCCCTCCCATTGCTGCTGTCTCCCACTTTCAGCCCACACTCTGGTGGGTTCCATTTTGTCATAGGTGCCACGGGCCTCCCATTGCTGCTGCCAGGTCCCGTCTCCTGCCATGGGCCCCTGTACCGCCTCCTCACTGCTGGAGTGGGTTCCCCCCATTTTGCTGTCTCCATCGCCAGGCTGGTGGCAGATTTTGTCATAGGGCCTACGGGCCTCCATTGCTGCTGCCAGGCCCGTAATCTGCCATGGGCCCCTGTACCGACTCCTCATGCTGCTGCCAGGCCCGTAATCTGCCATGGGCCCCTGTACCGCCTCCTCATGCTGCTGCCAGGTCCAGAGTGGTCTCATGGGTCCCTGTACGGCCCTCCCATTGCTGCTGTCTCCATCGCCCACACACTCTGCCAGGTCTCCCACAGAGTGGGTTCCATTTGTCATAGGGTGGGTTACGGGCCTCCCATTGTGCAGTCAGGGCCCGTAATCTGCCATGGCCCATGTACCGCCTCCTCATTGCTGCCAGGCTGTACGTCTCCATTGCTGCTGTCGCCACACTCTGCCATGCTGCCACTTTCAGGTCTCCTCACACTGCTGGTGGGTTCCATTTTGTCATAGGGTTGCTGGCAGATTTACGGGCCTCCCATTGCTGCTGCCAGGCACCGTAATCTGCCATGGGCCCCCGTTCCGACTCCCTCATGCATGACTGCCAGGCCCGTAATCTGTCATGGGCCCCTGTCCCGCCTACTCATGCTGCTGCCCTGTCCAGAGTGTCTCATGGGTCCCTGTACGGCCCTCCCATTGCTGCTGTCTCCATCGCCACAACTCTGCATGCCACTTTTCAGGTCCCTCAGAGGTATTGTAACTCCGCGGAGGACACGACTGTCCACCCAAAGTGTGGAGAGACTGCACGTTTGTGAAAATGAATCAGGCGTGGATTAGTCTGGATTTCAAACCACCATTCCTGACACAACTGACTAAATCCGCCATGAATCAGGCCCCAAACATGTTATTATTTTTAACATAGGCCTCTGTACGGGCCTTCAATTTAAGCTGCTTAGGCTTAATGCTTCGCCACTCATGCCATGGCCCCTGTACCGCCTCCTCATTGCTGCTGCCAGGTCCAGAGTGTGTCATGGGTCCCTGTACGGCCTCCCATTGCTGCTGTCTCCATCGCCACACTCTGCCATGTGCCACTTTCAGGTCTCCCTCACACTGCTGGTGGGTTCCATTTTGTCATAGGGTGCTGGCAGATTACGGGCCTCCCCATTGCTGCTGCCAGGCCCGTAATCTGCCATGGGCCCCCTGTACCGCCTCCTCATATGCTGCTGCCAGGTCCAGAGTGTGTCATGGGGTCCCTGTACGGCCTCCCATTGCTGCTGTCTCCATCGCCACACTCTGCCATGTGCCACTTTCAGGTCCTCCTCACACTGCTGGTGGGTTCCATTTTGTCATAGGGTGCTGGCAGATTACGGGCCTCCCATTGCTGCTGCCAGGCCCGTAATCTGCCATGGGCCCCTGTACCCGCCTCCTCATGCTGCTGCCAGGTCCAGAGTGTCTCATGGGTCCCTGTACGGCCTCCCATTGCTGCTGTCTCCATCGCCACACTCTGCCATTTGCCACTTTCAGGTCTCCTCACACTGCTGGTGGGTTCCATTTTGTCATAGGGTGCTGGCAGATTACGGGCCTCCCATTGCTGCTGCCAGGCCCGTAATCTGCCATGGGCCCTGTACCCCCCTCCTCATGCTGCTGCCAGGTCCAGAGTGTCTCATGGGTCCCTGTACGGCCTCCCATTGCTGCTGTCTCCATCGCCACACTCTGCCATGTGCCACTTTCAGATCTCCTCACACTGCTGGTGGGTTCCATTTTGTCATAGGGTGCTGGCAGATTACGGGCCTCCCATTGCTTCCGCCAGGCCCCGTAATCTGCCATGGGCCCCTGTACCGCCTCCGCCTCATCATGCTGCTGCCAGGTCCAGAGTGTCTCATGGGTCCCTGTACGGCCTCCCATTGCTGCTGTCTCCATCGCCACACTCTGCCATGTGCCACTTTCAGGTCTCCTCACACTGCTGGTGGGTTCCATTTTGTCATAGGGTGCTGGCAGACTACGGGCCTCCCATTGCTGCTGCCAGGCCCGTAATCTGCCATGGGCCCCTGTACCGACTCCTCATGCTGCTGCCAGGCCCGTAATCTGCCATGGGCCCCTGTACCGCCTCCTCATGCTGCTGCCAGGTCCAGAGTGTCTCATGGGTCCCTGTACGGCCTCCCATTGCTGCTGTCTCCATCGCCACACTCTGCCATTTGCCACTTTCAGGTCTCCTCACACTGCTGGTGGGTTCCATTTTGTCATAGGGTGCTGGCAGATTACGGGCCTCCCATTGCTGCTGTCAGGCCCGTAATCTGCCATGGGCCCCTGTACCCCCTCCTCATGCTGCTGCCAGGTCCAGAGTGTCTCATGGGTCCCTGTACGTCCTCCCATTGCTGCTGTCTCCATCGCCACACTCTGCCATGTGCCACTTTCAGGTCTCCTCACACTGCTGGTGGGTTCCATTTTGTCATAGGGTGCTGGCAGATTACGGGCCTCCCATTGCTGCTGCCAGGCCCGTAATCTGCCATGGGCCCCCGTTCCGACTCCTCATGCTGCTGCCAGGCCCGTAATCTGTCATGGGCCCCTGTCCCGCCTACTCATGCTGCTGCCAGGTCCAGAGTGTCTCATGGGTCCCTGTACGGCCTCCCATTGCTGCTGTCTCCATCGCCACACTCTGCCATGTGCCACTTTCAGGTCTCCTCACACTGCTGGTGGTTCCATTTTGTCTAGGGTGCTGTATGGCCTCCCATTGCTGCTGCCTCCACGCTGTGGCTCCACACTCTGGTTTTGTCCCTGGCCCCGTGACTGCCCAAATGAGTGAAGTGTGCGTGTGATTCTAAGATCGACGGCACTCATCTGCATGTCATACTGACTGACAGTATTAATTTCTCTTCCCCAGCAGACTCCAAGGGCATTTAAATTAAAGGTACAGTGTTCTGCACTAATATAAAGGCTCTCTGAAGCCTAGTAACACCCTTTTTAAAGTTAAATTCGCAGCGAATATATTCGCCTCGAATCGAATTTATTCCTCGAATTCGCCGAATCAGCCGAATCGAATTTTTGAAACTAAATTCGCACGAATACCCTTCGCTCATCTCTACTTGAATGCCTCAATACAATAAGGGGGGGAGCGGCAAATACATGGCAAATGGGGCTAAAAACATGAACGCAAGTTACTTGCTAGGGAGAGAACCTCTGGGGGAAGCCTGGATGGAAAAACATCTGGGGGTCCTAGTAGATGACAGACTCAACAACGGCATGCAATGCCAAGCTGCAGCAAGCAAAGCTATCAGAATACTAGCATGCAATAAAAATGGGATTTACTCAAGAGATAAAACTATAATCCTGCCACTTTATAAAGCTCTGGTACGACCACACATTGAGTATGCCATCCAGTTCTGGCCACCAGCCCTCTGGAAGGATGTGCTGGAACTGGAGAGAGTCCAGAGAAGGACAACAAAGTTAATAAGGGGACTGGAACACCTCCATTATGAGGAACGGCTACAAGCATTAAACTTATTGTCCCTGGAGAAGATACACTTGAGAGGAGATATGATAGCGATACACAAATACCTCAATAATGATTAGCGTAGGGAATAAACTATTCAGTCTCAGGGAGTGAGAAATCACTGGGTCACTCAGTGAAATTGGAGGAGAAACAGTTTAACCCTTATACTATTTAGGGTTTTTTTTTTTTTTACTATCAGGGCAGCAAGGATGTGGAACTTCCTTCCACAATCAGTGGTGTCAGCGGGAGGTATTGATAAATGAAGAAAAAAAAACAGGCATCATAGCGAACATAGTATACAGGGGAATTTTTATTTTTTTTTCCCATGGACAACACACACACACACACACACACACACACACACACACACACACACACACACACACTCACTCACTCACTCACTCACTCACTCACTCACTCACTCTCTCCCTCTCCCTCTCCCTCTCCCCTGGATGGACTGGTGTTTTTGTGCAACCTTAACAACTATGTACAGGCAACTATATGTAACCATACAAGGTAACAGTGTCCAGGTTCTTGCAGAAGTACTAGGTATACTGTAAATAAATAAGTGTCTATTCAGTCTCTTTACACATCCATATAGCATTTCACACACCATTATTTGTAATGTTGAGTGACTGAATTAAAAAACTGTTTCTGTTCATGAGTAGTCAATATATATTTGTGTATCAATTTCTGAATCTGAGAGGACTTATTTACCTTTAACCACAAGCCTACAGGGCACTTATACCCCCTTCCTGCCCAGGCCAATTTCCAGCTTTCAGCGCTGTTGCACTTTGAATGACAACTGCGCGGTCATGTAACACTGTACCCATATGAAATTTGTATCATTTTTTTGTGACAGAGCTTTATTTTGGTGGTATTTAATCAACTCTGGGTTTTTTATTTTTTCTTAAACAAACCAAAAACCACTGAAAATTTTGAAAAAAAAAGTTTTTTCTTAGTTTTTGTTATAAAATTTTGTAAATAAGTGATTTTTCTCCTTTACTGATGTGCGCTAATGAGGCTGCAGTGATGGGCACTGATAGGCTGCACTGATGGACACTGATAGGTGGCACTGATGAGTAGGCACTGGTAGGTGGCACTGATGGGTATTGACCTGCATCACTGATGGGCACTGAAAGGCAACACTGATATATGGCACTGATAGGCGGCTCTGACTGGCACTGTTAGGCGGCACTGACTGGCACTGGTAGGTGGTACTGACTAGCACTGATAGGCAGCACTGGCTGGCACTGATAGGCGGCACTGATAGGCGGCACTGATTGGCATTGATGGGTGACACTGAAAGGCAGCTCAGATGGGCACTGATATGTGGCATTGATGTGGCACTGATGGGCACTGGCACGTGGCACTGAGCACTGACGGCACTGATGGACACTGACAGGTGGCACTGCTGGGGCTACACTGATCAAAAAAGTAGTAGTTGGCATCTGACTGACTGCAGGGTGGACAGGTGTCTTTAAAGAGCTCAGACAGGTGCTACTAAGTTAGATTAATGAGTGGAGTAGAGGTGGACTTTTTAAAGGCACGGTAACAGGTCTTTGAGAGCCAGAATTCTTGCTGTTTCTTAGGTGTTCAAATACTTATGTTCAGCAGTGCAAGACAAATAAATTCTTTAAAAATCATACAATGTGATTTCCTGAATTTTTTTTTAAAGTCTGTCTCTCAGAGTGGGAATGCACCTACAATGTGAATTTCAGACCCCTCCATGATTTCTGAGTGGGAGAACTTGCAAAATCACAGGGTGTTAAAATACTTCTGTTCCTCACTGTATCACACTAAAGTGACAAAAGCAGTGATTATAAGACCAAAAAAATAAATGAATAAATAAAATCAAACATAAATGTGTGGTATCACAACAAAACGTGATATTCAAAAACCACTGTTCCAGTGTCACATACAAATTGTCCAGAAAAATAAAGTTCAATGGTGCGTAGAAAAACACCAAATAATACAATGACTCAGAAGGTGCAGGTGATATAGATATATTGACATGACAACCAGAAGGAAATAATCCATAAATGGCTGAATTGCCCCCTCATCTCCTTGAGGCGACCCAAAGGGCCAAAATGCCTGTTAGAAAACAAGAATGACCATCCACGGCCTGGTCCACCCTTCTTGGATAGTATCGGTCCACAACAGTGGTATCCCCTTCACAGGGGAAGGGTGGACCAGGCTGTGGATGGTCATTCTTGTTTTCTAACAGGCGTTTTGGCCTTTTGGGTTGCTTCAAGGAGGTGAGGGGGCAACTCAGCCGTTTATGGACTTGGGAAAGCACGTGTGCGAAACATGTCGTCGTGGTAACCGGCCATACCTCCCCTGCTTGCGGCAGTATGCTGGGCTTCCCCTCGGTCTCCTGGCTATCGCGGTGACATCATCCCAGGACTCTGAAATCACGTGGTCCTTGCATCTGACAGGCTCAACTCCATTCATCACCACTGCACATCATCCCCGAGCGGATGGGCCGTCCACCTGACCCAGACACTTCCTTCAAGCCACAGGCTCAAGTGTTTTTATGTTCCATTGCTTATTCCAATAAATGTACTCCCCCTAGTGGAGTTTATATATTACTACCACCACAGCGCTGTTTTTTCTATGGAGCTTCATACATATTGAAGTCCCATCAGGACTTTTTCTTTCACTGGCGTTTCTTTATCTACACTTTATCCATTCAATTTTTGTTCCACTATGGATCCCTTAGCTGATCAGCTCACCTTATGAACTGTGAAAGAATGGCTTGTTGTATTCACTGAACTGCACTGGTGGCATTCATTAGTCACTTATACGTTTGAATGAGTCATTTTGGATGATTCCCACTGTTTTATGTGCATTCTATTTTACGTATTTATTGTACATCATTTATTGGTTTTTTTCATCTATTTTTGGGATAAGACAGTGAGGGAGTAGTGTAGTGTTGGGGTAGCACTGCACCAATTCACTTTATATTTTGCACATTATCCATTTGGTATATGGTTGGGTGTCAGCAGCCTCCTCCCCATAATTGTGATTAGTCCATTTTTTGAGTAGCGCAGGAGGTTACTATTGTTTGTCTTCTGAAGAATGGGTCATCGCTGCCCTACGAGCTGGACGCATACCCTTTTTCATCAGGGGAAGAAGGGAATTCTTATCTCCTGAAATGTTCTGAATATACAAGTCTAATTCTGCCCCAAACAAGTGTTTTCTGTGGAACGGAATGCCTATGTACAACTGTTTGCAGGGTAATTCTGCAAACCAGCTCAAAGCACTCTACGCATGTTTATAACTAAAAGCCCCATGCGAGGGATCTGATAAATAGTCTCTCAGAGTGGGAATACACCTACAATGTGAATTTCAGACCCCTCCATGATTTCTAAGTGGGAGAACTTGCAAAAGTGAAGGGTGTTCAAATACTTATGTTCCTCACTGTATATTTAATCCCACATAGAGGGATTCACTGATTTTTTTTTCACTATTTTTTGGCTAATTTATGGTCACTATTAATAATGTATTTATTGATCCCACATTTAGGGCTTCACTTTTTATATTGATTATCATTATCACTGCACTTGTCACAATTATGTGATATATTTGATCCCATATTCAGTGATTCCATATTTTTCACTAATTGTGGCTAATTTAAGCCTTTGTGGTCACCATTACTTTTAGTGTGAATATTGATCCCACATTTAGGGATTCACCTTTTATTTTAATTATAGTTCATAAATATTGAAGTCCCGTCAGGACTTTTTCACTGGTGTTTCTTTATCTACACATTATCTATTCAATTTTTGTTCCACTATGGATCCCTTAGCGGATCAACTCACTTTATGAACTGTGAAAGAATGGCTTGTTGTATTCACTGGTGGCATTCATTAGTCACTTATACGTTTGTATGAGTCATTTTGTTTTATGTGCATTCTATTCTATTTTACCATTCTCCAGAAGTTTCCTCTGAGCAGGGATTCCGTTGGTCATAGGGCTCATCCTCTAGGGAAAAGCCTCAGGACCAATTTCAGAAAAAAGTGTACCCCTAAATTGATGGTGATAGCAGATGAGTGGGTTCGAGAGGCAGTTATTTCTGGGAATTCCTGCCTCCCTGTTTCATGCGTTCAAATGTCTCTGCAAATCTGCAGAAAAGATCTCTGCTTTTTATGGCTCTTCATCAGCTTCAATTGCAGGGGGTAATCAGGCTGGTTCCCAGGTCAAGAGATTTATGGGGTTTAATACAAATCTCTTCACTATTCCCAAGCCAGATGGCAGTGTGGACTTGCAGGGGCGGAACAAGTTCCGTCAAGAGAAGGGTTTTTGAATGGAGTCAGTACGAACGGTAGTTGCTGTTCTACAGTCGGTAGATTTTCAAGCATCCATTGACATAAAGGATACTTATCTGCATGTCCTTATTTCTTCCTCTGGTTTTCTATAGAAGACCAACATTATCAATTTATGACATGTGGCCATTTGGCTCTTAAGGATCCAATGGATGTCTGTCCTTGGATACCTGGATGACCTGCTGGTCAGAGAACAGTTGTTGCTGAAGCAACAACACAATGTGGACCTCAAGGTTCAGACAATGGAGAAGTTTGGTTGGATCCTCAACCGTCTGAAATCAGTGTTGCTTCCAACCATGAGACTGGAGTACTTGGGCCTGACCTTGGATACAGTTCTGACAAGAGTTTTTTTTTTCCTCCAGAAAAATGTGTCCCTGAGATGGCAGGTAGCTTCAATTTGGTAGGTAGCTTCAACGGAAGAATCTCTCAATTTGATTTCGTATGAGGGGTCTAGGGAACATGGTGGCCTCCTTTGAGGCAGTCCCTTTCACTCAACTTCACTCCAGACCTCTGCAGCTGAATATTGTCAGCTTGGGACAGGAGATCGCAATCTTTGTACTCATGGATATGTCTGCATTCCAGTGTCCTTGCGGTCACTGCATTGGTGGATGTTGCCGTGGTCATTGGAGACAGAGAAATTGTTTCTTCCCACTTCTTGGAAAGTGGTCTCGACAGATACTAGTCTGTCAGGATGGGGAGGTGTGTTGAATCATCAGGGGACATGGTCCCCACAGGAAAGATCATTGTCCATCAATGTATTGGAGCTATGGGTAATTAGCTTGGTGCTTCTGCATTGTATAGATCTATTACAGGGCCTTCCGGTGAGAATTCAGGAATCGGGCAGCTCAGGAAGAGGTGAATCTCATCTTGTCCTGGATAGATGTTCATGTTCCCACTTTATCTGCAGTGCACATTCCAGGAGTGGAATATTGGCAGGTGAATTTTCTCAGCTGTCGGAGGTTGGCTCCAGGAAATGGTCCCTCCATCTGGAGGTTTTCAGGGAGCTTTGCCAGCGTTTGGGAAAGCGGATATGTATCTGGTGGCTTCCCAGTTCACTGTGAAGCTAAGGAAATTTGTGTCCAGGACCAGGGATTCACCGGTGTTTGCAACGGACACGTTGGTGATGCCTTGGGATCAGTTCTCTCTGACACGCCTTTCCTCCGATGCTGCTTCTTCCACACTGAGTGCACAGAATCAAGATGGAGAACACCCCTGTTGTTCAGGTCACTACAGCATGGCCTAGGAGGGCTTGGTATTCCTAAATAGTAAACCTGGTGGTGGATGGGCCGTGGACACTTCCAACTTGCCCAGACCTACTTCTTCAGGGTTCAATTTGCCATCCTTCTTTACAGTTTCTGGCTTTATTGGCTTGGCTATTGATGGCAGGGTCTTGATGAATAGGGGGTATCCAGGACAGTCGTTCCCACATTGAGGGACCGGAAGGAGGCCTCTAGGTGTATTTACCAAAGGACTTGGAAATCCTATATAGTCTGGTGTGAGGCTAGGAAATTCTATCCCTGTAAGTATGTTATAGGGCAGATTTAGTCCTTCCTTCAGTCTGGAATAGGCTTAAACCTAGCTCAGTACAATTAAGGGGTAAATCTCAGTTTCTGTGTATTTTCAGAGACCAATTGGTTCTCATTCTTTGGTACCATCATTCATTATAGGGGTTACCCGGATGGTACCCCTGTTGCCTCCTTGGGATCTAAATTTGGTTTTTTCAGCCCTGCAGAGGGCTCCTTTTGAGCCAGTTTGGGATATTCCTTTGGTGTTTATATCCAGGAAAGTTGTCTTCCTGGTTACCATTACCTCGGCAAGGAGGGTGTTGGACCTGGCTGCTCTTTCCTGTAGAGTCATTTCTAGTTCTCCATATAGACAAGGTGGTTCTTTGTAGTGTTCCATTCTTTTTGCCAAAAGTGGTAACGTCTTTTCATCACAAGCAGGACATTGTTTTGGAATCAGGTACTCTAGAGCAATTAAGGCCTCATGCACACATGACGTTTTAAAAACTCTCCTCCTGTTGGCAACAGCATTCTTGTCAAAGTGTCTTAATGCTTTTATAAGCATTTAGGCGTGTTTACACGTGTCAAGTGCTTAAGCTTTAATTCATTTAATTGGCCAAAATAATATTTTTATTCTGGCCATTGAAATGAATTACCGCTCAAAATGCTAAACGCGCCTAGTGTTAACACATGTTTAGGTGCATTT